TTATTGTATTGCATTTTATTTTCCGTATTCAATGTTTTACCCCACATCATTGTTAAGTTTGAAAGCTTATCAATATTGTAACGATGAATAGATTAAATATTAAAAAAAAACAGAGCCGGACTTGAAATTAGTTTAAATAAATTGTGTTCAAATGTCCAAAACAAAAAAATATATCAAGTGTGGCATATCATTGCACTCAGGAAACCGAGTTCTTTCAAAATCTGAAATAAGAAATGCAGGTCCTTTAAAAAGATTACGTTGGCCTCTGTATCTCACAAATTATCAGCTAATTTGAAAATCTAAAAATACCATCAGATCGCCCTAATAAAGTGGCTATGAGAGCATGTAATTAGTTTTTTGATTTTCTAAAAAGTAGGTAAACTGTAACGACAGGAAAAAAATAAATTGATTTTCAAAAAATCCGCTTTTTCCAAAAAACTCAGCAATCCTTGAAATTAAAAAAAAAATGATGGCATCTTGGTGAACATCCCAAAGCGCAACTTTGCCCCAATTTAACTATCTTCGTATCTATTACGGCTACCGAGATACCAATGCTCGTACCCCGAATTTGTAGCACCCTGTATAGGTAACTGGGAAACCGTTAAGCTTCATTCAGAAGCTCGAAGTGGTTTCAATTAGCGTAGAAGTTTGTTGAAGAAGTTAGTGGTCATCTGACAGGGACATTAAAAGCTAGCCCAAGACGCATTCCTGAAATTTAAAAAAGTCTTCACCTGTAGATTTCGACCTTGATCCTCGATTGAGATTTGTGGAACGCTACATCTGATCGGTACTCCTCTATGGCGTGGAGAGTTGGACACTAAAAGCAACTGCTATAAACAAACTGGAAGCTTCCGAAATGTGGATATACCGCAGAATCCTCAAGATACCATGGGCATCCAAAATAAGAAACGAGGATGTGCTCAAACTTATTAATAGAGAACGTGAACTCTTCAACACCATAAAAAGAGAAAGACTGCATACGTAGGTCACATCATGCGTTACCACAAATACCAGTTTCTTCAGTTCATTATTGAGGGCAAGATAGAGAGCAGAAGAAGTTTGCGACGGAAAAAAATGTCATGGCTGCGGAACATAAGACAGTGGACAGGCATGCGTGATATAGGTACAGACGTTGATCCAGACAGCCAGAGATAGGGAAGCCATGGAAAGTGCGGTCGTAATGATCCGTTAATGGATAAGCAGAGAAAGAAGAAGAAGAAAAAATTAACAATACATACTTACATACTTCAAAATTAGCGAGTAATGTCATTTTAGCCTTTGATTATATCATCCGTCAAGAGAAATTGTGGATAGAAATGAAAAATTTATTGTTTTATAAGCTAATTATTTTAATTTTAATTATTAGACTTTCTCTATGGATGACTTCGGCGAGCTGTTACTAGGATATTCTATAAATTTTAATTGTATTTTTTTAGATCCATCTAAAAATCCATGGGCGTGCCTGTTATTTTTAAACAAAAATTTATGTTGAGCTCCAAGGGTCAAATACAACCATCGATAAGTTGTATTTTGGAGAGAAACAAAGAACTTCTAAAGTATAACGCACCTATTTTATGACTAAGTTAATCATTTATGAACAAGGGCAGTCGTTGTATATAATCAGACCAGCCCTGTACACTACGAGTAGTATTAATAATACTCTAAGACTTTTATTAATATAGCCATTAGAATTGGGATAAAATTAATATTTTTTTTTATAATTTGTAAAATGTTAGTAGCGACAGAAACCGTCAGCTCTTTTGATGTGGCGGGACCAAATTTTCTTTCTCTCTCTTTTGACGTATTTGACAGATAGACTACATATTTAACTGCTCAACTTATGAAGTGGTCCTATTAACATGGTATACAATGCTCATAATTTGAAGTAGAATTAATTATAAAGTTTTATACATATTTTTTTTGTTTTGTTTTATCCTTATTTCTAAATTTGGATGTATAAAATATCTTACAGCTAATAAATAATTAAAAAAAAACGTTTCGTTGCCTGAGGTATATTTGATATAAAGTATATAGAGATATTTGATAAATGGCAACAGTGGCAACTTCGCTTCTTCATACGACAGATACTTATTTCGCGCAGCCACAAAGAAAATTGAAAACGGGACTGTCGCTACTCGTCGGTTTACTTACTCTGGTTATATTAACAATATCACTTAATCATAATCATAATAAATGTAGGGTTACAACAAGAGGACCACAATAAAGGTCGCAATGGAGTATGCCAATAATAGCTACCTCACAAAATCTAATCTAATCTAACATACACAGATACATGTACAATCCATCAATTTTGTTATAAAACATGCAAATGAAATTTTTTTCGCAACTATCGATTTGTTCATTAAAATTTTGGCATTATTCAAACTGTGTTCCGTGTCATGTGCTCCATCATTGGCGTGCCCGGGGGTGCGCCGCCCCCCCCTGGTGCTGCTGGGCACCCCCCAGAGATATCCTGAATTATGACTCTTGGCTACGTATTAATTTTTATTTGCTTGCATGTGATGTAGTAAAAATGACGTTTTCTAGTTTTGTTTAGTTAATATTATTTTATTGTGTTTAAAACATGTGCTAATTTTATTTTTTTTATAAAATTTGTAGGTATTTAAGTAATCTACGGGAACACGGTTTGATAACCAAGTCTATGAAATTTATTGATAGAGAAATTCATGTAAAATTGTATTCAAAAAATGTGTTTTTAAAATTATTTTTCATTTAAAAAAAAAACAAAAGCCCTAGGCCCCCCCTGGGCTCAACCCCAGGCCTCCCCCCAGGCCCACCCCAGGATAAATTGCTAGTTACGCTAATATGCTCCATGATGTTGACTAGCATATATCTGAAGTTCTGCCATTCGGATTGCTTGGTATTACTTGAGCCTAAATAAAATTGATTGTATAAGTATTGGTATAAATGCTAGCGAATAATTCTATGCCATCGGAAATTATTTATGTATCTAAATTCTTATAGCTATGATCAAAACATAAAAAGTCAAACAGATTCACGTAGAAGTATACACGTTTTTTTCCTATTTTTCTAAAGAAAAACTATGTATGCATTTACGGTAATAATACTTCTATTTAAGCAGCACTTACTTGTTTGTACTTAAATAAATATTAGGAGGATAAAAACACACGCTGTAGAGATTGTTTGAAGTAAAACAGATTAATTCGTAGATTATAATTTAAGTTTGTTATAAAAACAACTTTAATTGTTCCTCGAATTATAAATACTTTATCGTAAACAATGAAATGAGTTTTTTTAATGGAAAATAGAGAATAAACCCATTCAGAATTATTTTTTGTTATACAATGAATATGTATGCAATATCTAATAGGTAACTAGGTTTTCAAGGATCCTAATTACAATAAGGCCAATGTTCATTGTGTGATAAATTTCATTCGAATGATTCAAAAGCACCGTTATATCGAAAACGAATGTTTAACATTCTTATTTTACATAATTAATAATAAAATGTTAATGTATGTTTATTTACCTTCGATTTGCTTAAAATATAGATTTCTCTAAATAAAATTAAAATATTTTAATACTAAATTTTGGTGTTTTAATTTTTTAAATATTAGTACTTCATACCTTAGCCCTTCTTCGTTTTCGTCCAAAATACACCTACGCATGGTGCCGAAATCGGATACTTCTTAACTTTATCAATGGTTGTGTCTGGCCCTTGGCGAGCCCGTCATAAAATTCTCTTAATAGGCACGCCAATGGATTTTCGTAGAGGACGTGTTAAAAAGTAGAGTCACATAGGCAGTGTTGCCGACTTTCTGAAATATAATTTCCCACGAAGACTGTCAAAATATCCCGTTTTTGCTAAAAATTCCAACGAGTTCTCAAATCCAATATAGTGTCGTCAACACAATGCAGATTTTATGTTTTTTAATTGAAAATTTAAAAAATATCCAAACGAATTAATTTTTTAACAATTTTAATTATTAATAATATTTGTACTCAACGTAAAACAAAAGCAGCACATTATTGAATATAAATTTCGGAAAATACTTTTAAGGTAAAACGACAGATTTTCGTATCTGCTATGACATTTTTTTGTCCCACCCTAATTCAAAATCTAACCACGGTCATGGTTACTGCCCAAGATTATTATATTGAACAGGTTGCCACGTAACTTTGGACCAATCACAGTAGTTGGCGCGTTACGTCAGCTAGTGGGACATTTAAAATAACTATTAACAAATTGTTTAATAATAATAACAACTCTACACAAGTTAAATTGTTTTTCTATAAAGTCTTTATTTATTTTTCTCTAATTTTTCTGACATTTAAGATTTTTAAGCAATATTTCTATTCGAAAAAAAAATAGTTTTAGCTTTTTACCGTGCTAAACATCGTAAGCTAGTCGAAATAATTTATTATACATATACATCACTCAGCAAAAACAATACTGAACGTTATAGGCTGTTACAGGTAGGAATGATCTCTATTACTAAGGAAAATTTGTCTAGTTCATCAATTATAATACGTAAGTACACTAAAACTAAAAAAAAATAATATGTCCACTAAAACTGTCCTATAATCCACTTAAATGCACTTAATACAGCACCTTCGGAAAACAATGTAAAATTATATGTAAACAAGCTGAAAACTGCTGAGACACACGACGAAACCACACGATGACGCGCAATATGGCTGCTAATGTCAAGTTACGAGGCAACCTGTTTAATTTAATAACCTTGGTTGCTGCTGTCATTTGTCATAATAATGAAAACAAAACTTCATCTTTATGGAAAATAAAAAATTAATAAAAGTTCCTGTTTATCTGTCTCTGAAATTCTGTTTAATACTCTAAAAATTGCGGGAAATTAGAAAAAATCTCCATGCACCTCTTCTTCGAGCACACTTCCCGTATACATCATATAATTTTAAAAAACTTACCAGTGTACTTCCCGATTTTTTGTATCTAAAATGTAGACACTGTAACTGTAATTTATATTTATTTGTTGTTGCAGGAAAAGTAGCCGAAAATGCAGTTCTTCTCGACTCGCCGCCTAAACCCCGTCCCACCATCACCCGCGCCCACAACGCTCCGCGCCCCCCTCCGCTCTCTTTTACCCATCAGCCAGTCGTGCCCACCCACGCGTCACCCCTTCACCCGCCGGCATCACCCGCCACTGAGGCGACGACGCCGGGTGGTGGGGGCTTCCTGTCGCGCCTGCGCAGAGGGCGACGCAACAGTGGCGGCGGTAGCGGGGAGACCGATCAGCTGGTGAAGAGGAACGGCCAGGCGACCGGAACCGTCATTAAGCCGGCCGGAAGTCTGGCCAGCCTGCGGAAATGCGAGACTGTGTTGGCCCTTACTAGTATTCTCAGGTGAGGTATTTAAATCTAAATATGGTTTAAAATTACATATCTGGAGAAATATATCTAATTTCAACACTCATACACAAATCCGCCAATACAGTTTTTTAGCATATTCTGCAGATAAAAATAAGTAAAAAAGTTCGTATAAATGTATGTCGTAAAATGCTTAGTTTTGGAGATAGGGTGTAGAACTTTCATTTTTATTACGATTTTTTCCGAATAATTTATGAAGTAACGTCAATATTTGGATAAAAATTGGTGTCTGGGACTTTTTTAAATGATAAATTGATACTGATATTGGAGATGGAGAACTACCCTCTATAAAACCGTCCCAGATACTGGCTTTTGTCAAAGCCCTGGGACTGTATGATGAGTTATAACTCAAGAAAGGGGGACACAATAGATCTGTAAGGTCGCAGTGATTAACCCCCCTCTCACTAATTCTAAATTCTAAAATTCTAAATGATAAATTTGATCTTAATGTCAATATGACTCCTATTTTTAGGGGGCGCCACCTACCTGTGTTTTAACTCTTTTAAAGAGTAATAACTTTTCGTCCGTACCTGTATAAAATTTCTGATTCAAAAAATATACATTTCCGTGACTTTTTACGTAAAAAATGTCTCTTGCTAAAAATCGCTACGAGCAACCGTTCTGGAAGATCTATAGGAAATAGTCAATACATGTCAGTATTGACAAAAAATAAACACGTTGAGTAGGATAGTTATTTGACTGAAATAATAAATTTGGGAAATTTTTATTTTTTATATTAATCATAAATTTTTCTTTTCAAAAATGATGAAAGTTTCTATTGAACTTGGCACAAACCATTTAATATTTATGATTTCAGTCTAATAGCTATTTAGTCAACATGTTAAATTTATGTCAACGATTGCAAATATCTCGAGAACCATTACTCGTAGCGATCTTTACCAAGAGACATTTTTTAGGTAAAAAACGTCATAAATGTATATTTTTTTACTCAGTAGTTTTATACAGGTACGAACGAAAAGTTATTACTCTTCAAACCAGTTAAAAAACATGTATAGGTGGCGCCCCTGCAAGTAAGAGTTATATTGACATCAAAATCAAAAAACTCCCGTACACAAATTTTCATCTTAATGTTACTTCAGAAATTATTTGGAAAAAAATCGAAATAAAAATGAAATTTCTACACCCTGTATCTCCGAAACTAAGCATTTTACGACATAAATTTATACGAACTTTTTAACTTATTTTTATCTGCAGAATATGCTGCCGAAGTTTCCAGAATACAGTTCGGACCACCCTGTATAAAAAAAGTTTTATACGAACTACGAACCCAATACCCTCCAATACCCATACGACACTCAATTTACAGGGTGTCCCAATATTCCGTGGACATAGAACTACTACGTATTTTGGAATTTGGACGCAATTTACCTTTATACAAAAATGCTTCGTTTGTCCATTTAGAGGGCATAAAAAATAATCACATTTTTTAAGATATTTTAAAACCGATATTCCGATTTGAATGAGATTTGAGGTGCCTAAGCGCTTTAATATTTGACTTTTACTAAAAAAAAAACAAGAAAAAGTACGCAAAGGGTAAATTAGTACTAGGTAAAAAGTACTACCATAGTTTGTACTACCCCCTTACATCAGTTTTAGTAGAAATATTTTTCAACTCCAAGGACTGATTTTTTCTTCGTAAAATGGTTCTCCTAAAATTTACTACATTTTTTGTCTCTTGAAAAAGAACGCCACATTGCAAGTTTTTGAGAAAATGAATAATTTTTTTGTCCCAAAACAGACCTACAAAATATACAGGGAGTTCCAATATTCCTTGGACATAGAACATCTATGTATTTTTAGTTAATTGTAAACAATTTATGTCTATACAAAAGTGCCGTTTGTCCGTTAGAGGGCAACAATCAATACATAGCTCGACGTGACAAGAAACATTTTTTGTAAAACAGTTTTTACTAGAAACAAAAAACGTTAGTAAATAGGTACTAGAAGGACCATTTTACGAAAATAAAATCGGTCGTCGGTGGAGTTTAAAAATATTTTACTAGAATTTATGTAAAGGTGACGAGAGGTTTTTACTAGAATTTATGTAAACCTGACGAGACGAGAGCGAGACGAACGCGAGACGTTCCAAATTCGCTAAGTGTGGACCTTAGGTGTGGACGGATCTCGCGAGACAACCCATAGAGCCTCGTTGCTAGCCGTCCTCTGTCGGTTTTGCGACGGCCGATCAAAGAGAGCTCGAGACACAGTCTTTGGGACGTGTTTTTGGTAGGCTCGCTCGACTACGAAATATTAGCTCTGATTTTTGAATTTCGACTATTTAAAATTGAATAATCTCAAATTTTTTAAATGGTACACCATATGTATTATCATTTTGTTGATAAAAATTGCAAATTTTGCGTCACTGATAATTTTTACCGTACCGAAATCTAACATTTCTTAAACAAATTGAATTATTACAAAATCTATTAATTTTAGATAATATCATATACAAAAAAAGTTACCGAATGTTAAGTAGAATCTAATAATAAAATAAAAAACCCATTAAAAATGTTATACACACTTTTTTGAAATATCCTGTATATTCTACAGTAATTTTAAAATGTGCTTCTATATAAATTTTCTATTTAACATTTTGTTCTAAAAAACGTATTTTGTAAAAGACGTCGTTTCTGGAAACAAATGAAGGGTTAAAGGAGAAAACAACCAAAAGGGAAAAAACCGACGATGAATAAAATACGACGAACCAAATACAATGTTAGAAATACAAACATTTATTACTCTATCCGTTATTATTTGGCCATGGTTTGTTATATTCAATTACAATTTAATATGTGTTTGGGTTCCTATCACTATGATCCAACTCTCTTGTCTCGTGGCAGGCTTGTCTCAAAAAACAGTTAGATGTCTCGCTCTCGTCTCGCTCTTGTCTCGCTCTTGTCTCGCTCTTGTTTCGCTTTTGCCCCGCTCTCGTCTCGTCAGAATGGACGCATCTTAAGGGTGTGGATAGTTTTTACCCTTCCCGTACTTTCCTTACTTTTTGTGAAAGTCAAATGTTAAAGAACTTAGCAAAACATAAGCACATAATCTCATTCAAATCGGAATAAAACCGTTATTCCAATTTGAATGAAAAACAATATATAAATAAAATGTCTTAAAAATGTGTTTATATTTTTTTTAAAGTTTAATGCCCTCTATCGTACAAACGAAGCATTTTTGTATAGAGGTAAATTGTATCCATTGACCTTATTTTGATTCCAAAAATACGTAATAGCTTTATGTCCACATGCTAAATATACAGGTAATTGATTAATATATTTAAATGATAATTTTTGAAAGCAGAAAATATTTGAACGTATTTGTATTTTGTATTCGAATACTGAAATTAGAAGAATTACATCAAAGTTAGATAAATAAAAGAAAAAATTTATATGTATATTCAATGATCTGTCATTGCATGATACTCTATAATTGATAATTTAAAGAAGTAAAAACAATTTACGACGTTTAAAAATAATAATTATACCATTTCGTATTTCTTGCAAATCTATTTGTACTATACAGTTATAAATTTGGTTTATTGATGGGGTGTCAGATACTATAGAGTTATTGTGTCAAAATTCCTTGATAATTGATATTTGATAAGCGTAAACATCTAAACCTTTTCGGATTTTCCTAATTGGAAATAATTCGGTTATTGCTGTTATTGGTCCAGTGATATCCAGTATCGAAAAAAAAATGAGAAGCATTTTTTTGGAAACACTATAAATATGACTGAGTGAGTAAAAAAATGTTTACTATTATTACATTATGAGGCAGAATGAGTACCTACTTAGTTTTCCCAGTTAACCTCGCGCGATTATTATATTTATTGTTATTATATTGTCATGCGATAATAAGATCAAATTATTTTGTTGTATGAAAATACGATAACTGACATTCATGTCAGTTATATTAGAAAAAAATATTTTTTAATGGCAGGCATGATTGAGTAAAAGCATATGAAATTAATTATTTGTAATATAATAACTAATATTGTATCATCGAAACTTAAGGCTTTACACTGCAACCACTCAATTATAGCCGCTTTTTCCATGAACTTGTGGGAAGCTTCTTTACTAATCGACAATGATAGCTGGCGTTGTCCATTACAATAACTGATTTCTGGGGAATATACAGGGTGGTCCGAATTGTATTCCGGAAACTTCGGCAGCATATTCTGCAGATAAAAATAAGTAAGTATAAATGTATGTACTAAAATGCTTAATTTCGGAAATACAGGGTGTTAAAGTCTCATTTTTATTTTGATTTTTCTCAAATAATCTCTGAAGTAACGTCAATATTTGGATGAAAATTGGTGTCTGGGAGTTTTTTGACATGAGAAATTTGATTTTGATGTCAATGTGACACTTACGTGTAGAGGGCGCCACCTACATATTTTTTAACTTGTTTGAAGAGTAATAACTTTTCGTCCGTACCTGTATAAAATTACCGAGTAAAAAAGTATACATTTACGACGTTTTTACGTAAAAAAGTATCTTTGTAAAAATCGCTACGAGTTATGATTCTCGAGATATTTGGAATCGAAATTATCAATACCTGTCGTCATTGACATAAATTAAACATGTCGACTAAATAGTTATTAGACTGAAATCATAAATTTCAAATGTTTTGGTGCCAAAAGTTCAACAGAAACTATTTTTTCGCAGAAAAATTTATGATTGATATAAAAAAAATAAAAATTTCCCAAATTTATTATTTCAGTGAAATAACTATCTACACAACACGTTTATTTTTTCTCAATAATGACATGTGTTGACTGTTCCCATTCTAAATATCTTGAGACATAAATGTCGATTTAACGGGTTTTTATGTAGGAGACATAAATGTCTCCTACATAAAAACACGGAAATGTATATTTTTTCACTCAGTAGTTTTATACAGGTACGCACAAAAAGTTATTACTCTTCAAAACAGTTAAAATATATGTAGGTGGCGCCCCCTACAAATAGAAGTCATATTGACATTAAAATCAAATTTCTCATGTCAAAAAACTCTCAGACACAAACTTTCATCCAAATAGTGACATTCGATTTCAGGAAAAAATCGAAATAAAAATGAAACTTCTACACCCTGTATCTCCGAAACTAAGCATTTTAGGACATACATTTATACGAACTTTTTTACTTATTTTTATCTGCATAATGTGCTGTCGAAGTTTCCGGAATACAGTTCGGACCACCATGTATATTCGATCATTTGTTGGAAATATTTCTCAAAAACATCAGCCGTCATTTCTTCGTGGTAGTCGTTGCTTGAATTATATTGAAATTGCAATAATCTTTGATCCAAAAATCCGTTTTCACTGCCTATATGGGTTATAATAAGCCTGCGTCCCTTTCCAGACGGAAGTCTTAATCTCGTTGACCAACCCTCCATGACAGCTTGTCGGGAATTCAGTATATTTTTATCTTGCCAGACTTTCGATACGGTGTGTCCTTTATTTAGCTAGGTTTCATCCAAATAGAAAATATTCTTACATTCGTTGCGATATAATTAAGTATTCTCGTCTCCAGCAAACAATATCCGGCCTATCAATAAGAAAAGATTTTCTGTTCTGTTTTTCCCACCGGAAGTTCATTCCATGAAGAAGTCTCCATACTCTAGTTCTTGATAGTTGTGGCAGGTTGTCGTCATTCTGGACGGCATTGCACAATCTTGTCCAGTGTTTGTATTTCTTTTGCGAAATACATACCATGCACTTTCCGACGAACACTGTTTTTAACATCCTCGTCAATTTGATGGTTTCTTCCCCGGGTAAGGAATTGGTTCACCGAGGTTCCGGCATTTTCTCTCACGTAAAAATCTACAAATCGTTGATTCTTCTACCCCTATCATATTGGCACAGTTCGTAATTATGTCACGAACAGAGCTTGCGGGGTTTTGGTATACAGGAGCACAGTTTAGCACTGTGACAAGAGCATCATGAACTTTCAGGATTAATGCTTTTTCCCGCAAGGAATATGCACTATTGCTAAATCGTTAAATAGGAATTGGAGAAAAACTTGAACTTGAAGCCATCTTAATTAGATGAATAGACGTTACTTGCTAGTTGACGAATACTAACTATTTCAATTTTTTTCTTATACAGGTACTTATATTTAAATATTACGAGTTTTTTATTTTAATAACTATGGGTACAGGTTACGGGGCAAGTAGTTCCGTCGCGCCTATGGTTTACAACTATTTTATGGTCTGAACCCTCGATCTGTGCTATCAACTCCATTGGAACACTAGCGAACTAACTATTTTTTAATGGACCAACTCTAATTTTAATGTCAATATTTATTTTTATTTACATTCTGATACGATTTACTTCTTTCCAGATCTTCTTCTAGCTCTTCCTCCATCGAACCCCTCCAGCCCCAGAACCGGCTGCGCATCGCGCCCGAGGGCTCGCAATCGCGCCTCTGCTCACGCTGCTCCAGCCTGCTCACGCTCGCCTCCGGGTCACGCTACTCGCTGGACTCGGCTGCGGGCGGCTTTGTCCGGGTACCGCCCACCCCCGATCGACTTCCGCCGCCTATCCTGTGTAAACTGTGTCTGGTGGAGGTGCCGGCTATGTCCGCGGTGAGGATACGGCAGTGTGAGTGCGCGTTCTGTTCTGAGGTAAGAATATATCTTATACTAGGGTGTAAGGATATGCTATGCATGTTCATATTAGAGATGAGCAACAAATCCCAAACTGCGATTCAATCGCAGCGATTTTTAAGTCGCAACCGCAACCTGCGATCGGTTCTCATAGGAAACTGCGATTTCTTATATTTGCGAGTTTCAATTTAGGCAACCAATATTACTATAGTTACGATTTGCAATTTTGCTGCGATTGTAATTTTGCAAACTAGGACCGTAATAACCTTCTATCTGCGAGTCTGAATTTTAGGAGTTGCGATTTTGTTGCGAATGTAATTTTGTGGTCCATTGAAGCATTTTATAATAAAATGCGATTTAATTTTCTCGGCGATGCCGTCTCAGATGCGTTGTGTTCATATTAGTTCCTTAGCGATTACAAAACAAAATTACTTTAGTAAAGAAGCATTTGTCATAGAAAATTTACGCGTAAAAAGTCTTATTCTTGGAAATAGAAAAAAATCGAGTCAAGATATTCACGAAATGAATAAAAATCGTTTCCTTTATTGGTGAATTTTAACAGCTGTACCCTAAACTTACAATCTTCATTATTTGTCATAGAAGATGTCATTTTTCGTGGCAATATTGTTCGCTACTTCTTCTTTGACAGGTGAACACTGAACCATTATATTAAATATACTCAGATGCAAAAAAAACGCTACGGGAAATTTTTAGTCAAATTTAAAGTGTAATATTTTTGTTACTTTTAGCCCTATTTTCATGATTTTTTTAGCAAACTGTATATAATTATATCACTTTTTGTTCGTAAACTCAGTTTTTTATGAACTTTAATATTTGGCATATTATACAGGGTTAATCGAGGGGTTGTTTTTTACCCTAACTTTAAAATGTGCAATAATTTCGTCTGGAAATTTTCCTAAAATATAATTTTACGGTCAAAATCATATTTCTTCTGAGCATTTTGTTTTTTGGATCATACATGCCTTGGTTAATTTTTAAGAGTGAGCTTGCCAGCAAAAGTTTGCAATTTTTTCAATTATCATTTCTTTTTTGAAGTTATTTTTCCATATGACTAGACGACTTTGATGATTATTGTAAACTATATACTACCCTTACTACTATGAACTGCTCAGCATGTTCGACGTTTGACGAATGCTTGGCAGGAGGGTTAGAGGTCGCGAAGCAATACCAGCTTCGCTTGGTCCTTAAAGAAGAATGGAAAAACATAACGCAATATGATTTATGCAGCCTCTATGACAGTATGAAGGAACGTATACAGGCAGTTATAGCAGCCAAGAGCGGCCATACAAAGTATTAGGGTATTTTTTACAATTTTTTTTTTCTGCTTGTATACTAGAGTTTTACAGATGTTTTCTTTAATATCGATAGTTCTGTTATTGTTATTAATATTTTTTAAAACCCGGACTGTATCGTTAGTCTTTACCGTTTTTTTAATTTAGTATAGAGTATGCAATGCGGTGTAATATGGCGTTACGACAATAGTTACTAAAACCATCTTGCCAGGGCGGCGCCGGCGCCGCCGTATTAAAAAATTACATCAAAAAGTAATAATATAATAAAAAAAATTGCAAATTGGTCGTTATCAGTTCATTTCGCTCTTAAAAATTAACCAAAGAGTGTTTTGACATGAACCAAAAAATAAAATGCTCAGAAGTCATGGTTCTGACCGCAAAATTATATTTTAGGAAAATTTACAGACGAAGTTATTGCACAGGGTGTTTTAAAATTAGGGTAAAAAACAACAGCTCGATTAACCCTGTATAATGCCAAATACTAAAATTTATAAAAAGCTGTGTTTACGAATTAAAGTTGACATAATTATATACATCTTGCCAGTTGACATAATTATATACGTCTTATCATCTATCTTTATAAAAATTTATACAAATTTATATAAATTATATTACATTACATCTTACAAGAAGAGGAAAACTGTCAAAGCTGTGTAGTAGTGGGTCTACTATATAACAGGGCATTTGAACAGATTCTGTTAATCGGAAAAAGAAAGAGTAAAGTACATTACTTAATCTTATTTTATTTACAATATTGTGGAAAACACTTGAAATCGCATGTTCTACAAATTATACATCCATCTAGCCTAAAAGAGCGATTCTAATAAAAAATAAAACCAAACTTTTTCTGTTTATTGCAAACAGAAAAGACACAAATCTGAGATAATTACTGTATTAGTTGAAGCTGTAATCAAACCTGTATAATAATAAATAAATTGTTTTGACTAATAAATTAAAAGTATTATTTACTTATTATTTTTAAATTATTGAGCCAATTGAGAGATACATGCCAGACAATAAAAATGTTTTAATGCTCTATTTTTTGTTTCAGTCTCCAAAACTCGCAACCAATATTGCTTTCAAAAAAGTTGATATGTACGTTTGCTTAATATTATTATTTATTATTTTATTAGTGTGCCTTTCCAAATACAGTACTAATAAGTACCAATCAAATATTTCTATCAAAATCAGTTTCAATAGAATATATTAAAAAATCTGACTGTATGAAATTTGTAAAGAAGTCTATTTCTGTCGTGTGTTCTACCTGTTTTACTTCTTATGTATTAGACATCCCAATGGATGTATTAGACATCCCAATAACAGAACAAGAAATAAAAACCTCCATAAAACAGCTTAAAAACAACAAATCAGCTGGCTGTGACGCGATTCTGGCGGAAATCTATAAGTGTGCAAGTAAAGAACTTATTGGTCATCTTAAGGCTCTCTTTGATGTCGTATGGGAAAGCGGAGAGGTACCTCAAGATTTTCGCAACGCGAATATAGTGAATATATTTAAGAACAAAGGAAGTGCATTAGACTGCGGAAATTACCGGGGAATTTCGCTATTGGCTATCGGCGGAAAAATTCTTGCAAAAATAATGTCAAACCGCCTGCACCCATCGTCGATTCCATATTTTCCATCCGTCAACTACAGGAAAAAGTAAAAGAGCAGCAGTCTAAACTTTATGTTGCATTCATCGATCTAACAAAAGCCTTCGACTCTGTGAACAGAGATGCGTTTTGGGCAATTATGGAAAAGTTCGGAGTACCCAACAAATGTCTTACAGTGTGTAAAAGCCTCCATAACAACAACAAGTCAAGAGTGTCACATCATGGATCACTGAGCGACCCATTCCTAACAAATACACGAGTTAGGCAGGGATGTGTCTTAGCGCCTCTCCTATTCAACATATTCATGGCGGCGCTCTCCATTATAGTGGACAGCAAACTGCAGGAGAGAGGATTGGGCATTAGATACAGATATGACGGCGGTCTGTTCAACATAAAAGACTCAGGGCAAAAACACGTACAAAATTTATCACAGAACTTCAATACGCTGACGACTGCGCTCTAGTTGCAAACACGGTACAACAATTACAAGAAATGTTGAACACATATACCTGGGCATACGAGGCTTTGGGCCTTAAGCTAAACATCGACAAAACTAAAATCATGTGCGCTCCCCTGGAAGATCACAACAATGCTATAAAAATCGGAGAAGAACTATTCGAATATGTGGCGGAATTCAATTACCTTGGCAGTTTGATTTCGGAAAAGGCCAATATTGACTCTGAAATTCAGCACAGGATTAGTAGCGCCTCAAGAGCATTCTGGAAATTAAAAGACAGGGTTTTCTACAATCATGACTTGAGTACAAAAACAAAACTTGCAGTATACCGAGCAATTATAATCCCCACCATGTTATATGGGAGCGAAACCTGGGTGCCTTACCGCCGACACATGAACGCATTAAACAAGTTGCAACAGAGACACCTTAGACAACTCTTAAGAATCCGGTGGTTCCATCATGTCTCAAACGTATCGGTCCTTGAAAAAGCTAACTGCGAGAGTATTGAAGACATGGTCACAAAATCCCGCTTAAGATGGGCTGGTCACGTATGCAGAATGCAAGAAAACCGCATAGCATCTGCTTTACGGTGAGCTAGTAGACGGTAAGAGGAGGCCGGGTGGGCAACTGAAAAGATACAAGGACATTTTCCACGAAAATTTAAAGGGAATTAACATGCAGAATGAATGGGAAAAAGCAGCTCACAATAGAACTCAATGGAGAAGGGTTGTAAACTCAGTTAACAGCGGCAACCAAAAAGTGAAGAGGCAACAAAGCAATGAGATTTTTGAATGTCCGGAGTGCGGTAGGCAGATAACATTACGTATCGGGCTTTTCAGTCACAGAAAAGCTCATGAAAGAAAACGCCTTGCGTGACCATCTTTATGTGTGTCGAATACTCGTCAGCGAGTAACAGCTGTATGTATGTTACTTCTTAACGACTTATATTATTTACAGTTCCAAAAGAAAACATTGGCATGCATATACCTTAAAAAAATGTACATCAAAATCAATGAGTACGTTCCAGAAAAATGTAGTTTAAAAAACACGATGAAGGCTGAATTCCTGCAATAATAAATAATATCTTTTATCCATGTAAACAATGCACTGTCGCATATGTTTGCGTCATATTTCATTATACGTATGTAAAATGGTTAGATAATATTTGATTTTAGTTAATAAAACGTCAAAACGGGCAATTAAATAATCGAATTCGAATTTTTAAAATCTGCGTCAAATCAAGACAGGTTTTTAGATAAAGCTGACCTCAATCATCTCAGAAATTAATAGCCACTTAACAGTAAGTGGTTAACACTTCAGGTCTGTTGTACACAAACGAAAAAAATCTAATTAATTGTGATGACACTTCTAAAAAATAGTGTTATTTTAGATCATTTTCTAATTTTATAATTGTCGGGTTACGATAAACATGTTGTTTGTTTGTTTATTTAATACTTATTTATTCCGATCAGGTGAGACAAAACACTTTGTTTTGATCCTAACCAAGGACGTTATAATACCTCATAGTTTAACGAACAAAAAAATCTAAATATTCAAATTATACAAATTTCATCCCACCTTTCTTTATAGTTTGATTAGGCGTTAGAGATGGGCTATTGGTATATTTTTGCTGCGAC